ACTTTATTAGACTTTTCTGTTAAGAGTCTCACTTGGCCTAAGATGAGCGTGCGCGCGCGCAGTCAACACGCTTAGCCCTGCTTTGGTCGAGGAAGCAACACAGTCGCTGTCCCTTTAAGTTTTACAAACTCCAGACGGCCTGGTGCACTCTGGCAGGCCCGGCCTCCTTTGCGCGTGCACTAAAAAGAGGATGCATAACCCAGGCTCATCAGGGCCCTCGGCGCCGCCGCCCCAGCGTCTTATGTAGGTCCGCGCGGCAAGCGCGTGACGTGGGCAAGGGACGCCGCCACTGCGCAGGCTCCACATAGACGTGCACAGCGCCGCGGGCTCTGAGGCCGAGCCGAGCTAGTGCACATTCCAGGGATGTGGGCTCTGCAGCCCGCCGCGTCACGGCGCAGGTCCCGCCCCCGAACTCTGGCTCGCAGGCCCTGCCCCACTACCTCCACCCCGGCCGAACTTGGAGTGGCCAGCCCCAGGCGCCGGCTACCCCTTGTGCGCCAGAGGCGTGCGGCTGGCGGGTGGATTTGGCTCTCCGTTGTCCCACCCGGCTTATCCCAATGGGCGCAGATGCGCTCGGCCGCTTCGCTTCGCCGCTCCCTTTCACGGTGGGCAGTGCGGGCTGCCCAGAGTGGACTGAACTCCGAGATGTACACTTTGATAGGGAGCAGGAATTGGTGTGTGCTATCTGTGGTTGGTCACTCAGGCTGACCATCTCATTTGGGACCTACACACTCAGTTGGCTGAGTGTAAGAGCTGCTTTTGTGGTGAACAACACAGGCCCACTTCTCTCCCCAAGACTGGAATGAGCTGGTTAAGTGTGGGAAGAACAGGGTACTAATTACATTATCTTTCCTACAACTGGATTGGAAGGTGGAAAGGGAGGAAAAAAATCCTGCTGACGTTTTTCCAGTTGCTGCTATTGAAAATGCCAGGTTGCTTCAAAGAATAGCCACAAGAGGAAACATGCCCCACAGAGAAGCGGCTCAGGGAACTGCTTAGAGCACAAGAATAACCCTGTTGGAGATGGCACAGAAAGCTTAATATCAGTTGCCAAGGGCGTCCACAGGCTAACCTTGAACGTCTCTCTCGGGGCTTTCCGGAGAAGGTACACCTGTGTCAAGGGCCTCCCCATCTCCTCTTCCAGTCATAAGCCTGCCTCTCCCTCTCCAAGTCTGGAATGGGGCCTACCCGGATCCATTCCCAGAAGCAGCTGGTGCCAGCTGGTTTGGGCACCTGCTCCAGGACCTGTCAGTCTGGTCACTCTCTTCCAAGACCCTGTGCCACTCATCTGAGCACGTGATTTTGCCCGTGGAGATAATCGAGTGTAGATGAAGCTGCCCTGACTGCAGAGTCATCTCAGTGCCCTAGGAGGTGACCCACTAGGCAGACACGGAAATGTTAAAACAAAGCAGAGCTCTGCATGAAAGCGTGGCCTGATTATACTGGTTTCACCTGCCAGCGGCCCTCAGTGTCCTCTCCAGGGAAAGCCTACACTACAACCCAAAATAGAATTACTGAGGTACAATGTCTGCCTTGAGAAATGCTAAGTAGAGCTTTACTTCTCCAAAAGACCGGTATTTCCTTTGTATTTCACACCACTGGCTTCATGTCGAAACTCAGCTGTTAGAACTTCCCCCTAGAGATGCCTGCCTGCTGGAAAACGGAAAGGCTATTTCAGACTGGGCTGCCCTCCATAAAAAGGAACCCGGCTCCACGGGGTTAAGGCAAGGCCTGAATCCAGGGCAGCAATTCCTTATACTGTATCAACAGCCTTTCATGCTGCTTGGCCTTTCATGTAACTCTGAAGCAGTTTTTTTTTTTTTTTTTAATCGATGTATGCTAAGTAAACATAGCTTTGTTTCTGTCTTCCACCCACCCGCCTTCCCTCCCGGCGCAGACTGGAGCTGGATCCTGTCCAAAGCGGCTGCTGCTGGAGTTACAGCCTGCCTCCTCCACACACAGGAGCGGGGTTTCTAGGGTGAGGCAATGCGTCTGCAATTCGCACAGACAAGGCAGGAATTGTAATTGTACCTCACCATGTGACGACTTATGAAAGAGGAAGTTGGCATGTTTTAGTCACGTAGACTGCCCTCTTGCTTAAGGCTCTGGGTCCTCCCAGAAGAGTCAGGATGAGCTTTGCTGCTCAGAGTCAAGGTTACAGGATTGGCTGCAGCGTGTATGTGTGCATTCCTAAGTGGACAAGCAGGCAGTGCAGCAGCCCAGGCCCGTGCTTAACCAGAACCCTGGAACCTTGTGATTTGTTTTAGGAACTAAAGGAAATAGTCTGCAGGGAGGGGTTCTGTGGAGACTAGACGAGCAACAGTTTTCCTGGCTGCAATTCCTAAGATTTTTTTCTTTTAAAATAGAGATCTCAGTTTGGGGGCAAAATGCTATTCTGCTTGACAAGATGCAAATAGCAATTTGAGAAGGGATTCTAAAGCATAATTCCATGAACAAAAGAGAGCTGAGCCTACACTCACAATCATGGACACTGACATCTGATCTCTGAGACCTACTCTCTAGGCCCACTGCTGCATAGGAGCCCTTGTGCATACCTGGAAGCCATAGACCCACTGTCTATGGGGCAGGGTGCTATGAGAACATCCACATGGAGGTCTACCTTCAGGACCCCTGCAGATTGTGGGTGCTTTATGCTATGTCATTCTAAGTTTGTGAGCTCCACTCTGTATCCAGATGTGGATTCATGGTGTCACTTCCGTAGAGGGCTACTTTCAGTGACAATGATATTGAGAACAGGATGGGGGTGGGGTGGTTCTATGGGTAAAGCACTTGCTACACAAACCTGGGGTTTTGAGTGTGAATCACCAGAACCTACAACGTAAGCACCTCAGCGTTTCTACAAAATGGAAGGTAGAGACAGAATTCCCCCAGAAGCTCAAGGACCTGGTATACAAAACAAGGAATGACAAGAGACCCTGTCTGGAACAAGATGAAAGGCAAGGATGGACACCTGAGGTTGTCCTCTTCCCACACTTGCACTCATGCCCACATGTGCACACATGTGCATGGACACACATCAAAACAAAAATGATGTTGAAACCATAGTGAGGCTTTCTCAACTCTGACCTCTGCATGTGTGAAGGAGAAAATAATACAGCCGCATATCATTTGTGTTGCTGTGGGTGGCACTGCCCACCTCACTGATGTTGGCAAAAGTGTGGTAAAACCAGAAGAACATGTTAATATGAATATGCTTCCACAAACTGTAGACACGGCAACAGAAATGAACCTTCTAGAACTGATTCAAGAGCCTTTTTTTCTGAACAACGACATTCGTGGGACGATTTCACTGTTTTTTCAGATGCCAAATAATTCTTTTTCTTAGAAGTGCTTTCCCTCTGTTTGACCTTTCCGAAGCCACCCTTCCCTGCTAGAGGACATTTACTATTGTTAAAGGGGTTCTGTGAGGAGGTTCTAAGAACCAGATCAAATCTCAGGGGCTTATAAACACCACATAGTATAAACTGAAGCTGCTGTCACCAGCCTGTGTGTCTACATTCATACAGATCCCCATCTAAAGCAAAACTGGGGTCTTGATGTAAGTTAACTACTGACTGTGTTGCAATTTAAAGAGCCAAGCAAAAAAGGGGGGGAAGTAGGGGAAAGAGAAAAAGGAGAGATTGAGGTCACACCCTTGCTCAATCTGTAAGGAAAATTTTCAAGAGACCTGGAAGAGATTCAATAGCCTTGGTGCCAGAGCCCCCTTCTATTGGCTTTTTGAAAAGAGCTGGCTGTGGGTTTCATGTGTAGTTAACACACTGGCTAAAGTCCTT